GTAATGTGAACTTGATGGCTCCACAGTGTGCATGATCAGTGAAAGTAATGTGAACTTGGTGGCACCGCAGTTTGCATGATCAGTGAAAGTAATGTGAACTTGATGGCTCCACAGTGTGCATGATCAGTGAAAGTAATGTAAACTTGATGGCCCCACAGTGTGCATGATCAGTGAAAGTAATGTGAACTTGGTGGTACCGCAGTGTGCATGATCAGTGAAAGTAATGTAAACTTGATGGCACCACAGTGTGCATGATCAGTGAAAGTAATGTGAACTTGATGGCACTACAGTGTGCATGATCAGTGAAAGTAATGTGAACTTGATGGCCCCACAGTGTGCATGATCAGTGAAAGTAATGTGAACTTGATGGCACCAGTGTGCACGTTGATTATTGATCAAGTATTGTGTTAATATGCTAAATACTATCCCAATATTTAAACATAATCTGACTATACTTTTCATTGTTTGACAAAGTCACTAAAAACATGACTGGGACTATGTCATTGACAATGACTTGTTAAAGTGGCCTGTGGGTTCTTGATGACCTCTTTACATAGTGTGGGAGTTAGAGAATTAATTTATATTCATATTAAGTACATGTGAGCCTCTGGATTGGATATGGTGAAACTATCTTTTGCTGTTGGACTCAGAATTTTCTTGCAAATGAATTTCAACCTAAGCATTCACAGTAGATTTCATACATATTCTGAAAGTATACACTACTTGTAAGCAAAGATTAGCTTACAGTGTTCTTTATTTCAGATCTTTCTCTTCTAATTGGTCAGTAATAGAAGATGGAAAAACATCACAAAGAAATCTTGCGACGGCATCGTGCCAAATTAGCAGAGGAGATGACACCGAAATATGTGTACCCACATCTGATTTCTAACAATATTTTCAAACCTTTTATGATAGAGGATATTGAAGTAAGTCATAAATCTAAACATTCTGATTATAATCCTATGTACATATATGAAAAACTAAAATCTAGCAAGTATACACATGTATATGAAAAAACAAATATATGAATAAAAATAACAACATATACAGTATGGAATGAATACCTACATCAGATTTTAACCTGATATAGACCTGAATTGAGTTTCTGGTTATCTTGTTGCTAGGTGACCATATGTACAACAGTGTCACTTTTGCAGTCATATTACGGTAGTATGTAGATTGTCAACAGTCCTCGGGCCTAATTTGTTAGTATACTAAATCGACAAACGCCAAAGGCATTTGCAAGAAATGCCGTAATTATTTCAGCGAAGGACTGTTCACTTCTGCATAGTTGATATTAATTATGCATGCAAGCGAATGACGTCACTTAGTAATAGGTGAAGCATGGCTTGGTTCACTTCCTGTTTAGAGATCTGTTCCAGCACAGACCTGTGTCATATGACGCCTTACTAGCCGATTTTGCCTAAAATTGCGCTCCGCCGCCTCTTTATACACTAGTGTTTATACACGGAACTTGATACATCTTTTTTCCTATTTAAGTTGCTTTTTAATCGTGTATTGAAGTGAAATATTGTTTAGGGAAGAGTAGGAAATCAAACGGGCGGTTCACCGCGGCTCTCCGCGGTACACCGGGGAGAGCCGCGGACTGCTTATAATTAGGGGTCTCTACCGCGGTGGCCACCGATACCGGTTGCAACCGCGGTCATAGGAAAAGTGTGAAATACGTACTTAACAGTTTCCTTTGTGATTCTACGAGTCTTTGTTTCAAATAGCTGTTTTTAAATCGAGCAGGTTACGAGCATCGCTGGCATGGAAATACTAAGCATATAGTAATATTATCGACCCACGTATTTTATTAATATAAATTTCCATAAGTCCAATGCTGTATACGAATTGTTGTTGCGTGAAACAATGTTGTATTTTATGCATGTATTTATCACCAATTCCAAGAGTAAAAGTCGTAACTTTCGAAGGTACGAGTATTATGACTCGTCCATACATTTCACTTACGTTTGTTACACTTGAATAAATTCTACCACATGAAAAGAATGTTATTTACGAAGTTTTAAATAGCCAAGCCTTCCTGATTCGAGCCTCTTGTTGATTTGACAACGGTGGGTATCATTAATGTTTATTCTTTGCCTGTATCGCATTCCAGACAAAAAGTTCAAGATCGGTAAACAAGAAATGGACGAACTAAAATGTCTCCTGTGTTTCACGTGCGGCATGATTATTAAAAAAAAGAGTTAAGCGGTCATGTACGTTCTATAATCTAACCTTGCACACATAATCTTGTATTGACGTGTTTTTTTGGTCAAAAAGACGTTGCCTTTCAGTAACTCTCGCGAGAGTTACCGATTT